GAACTTTTTTATGCATTAGTTGTTATAAAAATGCAATTTAGATGTGATTTGGTCTCTCTCTGTCTCTCTCTCTCTCTTTCTCTCTCGGGAAAAGAGCTATTGTTATGTAGTTTGGAGGCAAACCTCGGCTCTAAGCCTTCTTAGCATTTGTGTCTCTCTTTCAAAACAGTTGTGATCTATAATTACAGACTTATTGTTGAGAACAGCTTTTTATTCACCAAAAATAAACAGATCTAATACTCGGCTAAATAGAGGATTTGTTCGCCTCTTTCATAGCCGTCTTAATTGAATCTTTTGTTAACAGCTCTTCAATAATAACAGTATATGAAAGCCTAAAGTATTATATATTATAGCACTTTAAGCATGAGATGAGATGATGAGCAACATATTGAAACACACATTGAAAGACCTGCAGCTGAGACCAAATCACATCTAAATTGCATTTTTATAACAACTAATGCATAAAAAAGTTCCCTTTATTCCACATTTTAATCACAAAAAACGTAATCGACAATAAATTATTTGCAAACTGAGAAATTAATACATGTATTCATAATATGAACTATACTAGGCACAGTACTTATATACTAATTACTCGATCAACTCACGACACGGTTAACAAGTTTTCAAGTGTATATCAAACAAAAATGACATTTTCTATGCGTTTCACTAATTATAGGGTCAAACGCTGGCAACGCATCCCAATTAGCAAATGTCATAAACTGTGGTAACGGTCTGTCAAATGGTCTGTCGTCGCAGATCAGTCACCCTCACCCGCACTCACACGCGTTGGGCCTACACTTCGGCACATCGTTTCCGTGGGCGGCGGCCGCCAGAGGAAAGCCGAGGCGAGGGATGATGAGGAGAGCCGTCTTCTCGGACGCCCAGCGCCAGGGACTCGAGAAACGCTTTCAGATCCAGAAATACATCTCAAAACCTGATCGCAAGAAACTCGCAGAAAAGCTGGGATTAAAAGACTCTCAGGTGAGCACAACTACCAGTCCTTTACTCCATACTCCATGTATTACCCGCTTTCATGTATTAGACATTGATAGCACTGATAGCGCCTGAAAAGTGATCAAAATTTATCATCAGATAATTAATGAGATTATGTTTTACTATACACAGTATACTATACAGTATAGCGTGTATACCTAAGTTACAGGTATCCAGTATATACTGTACACACAATGTTTAGGCACTAATTATAAGTTATTCAATAATTTCATTTTGTATGACATGTAATAATTATAAGGATATTAACTCAACAAAAGCTTTTATCTAAGAATTCTGACAAATCTCTCATTATTCTCGGCTTTTCTTTATTTATAAACACATTATAGTCGTAATACTTGTGCTCAACAGTCAGTCATTAGCTATTTATGAGAAGGTTTTCATTTTATTGATCCTTTATTATTATAATAATAACGGAATATTAAAGTAATAAAAACTTTTAATTTTTGTCTCGAAATAAATTATTTAAAGACTCATTAATAAATAAATCATTTATTAATTTACATAATATTAGAATAAACAAGAAATTAATTGCTTTTATGACTAAAAATCGTTGCAAACGTTGATGACTTACTGATTATAGCAGCGATTATGTGATAGAGAAAAAAATGTATTGAATTATTATTAATATAAAAGATTTAAGCGTTTCTTGTGCTTCAAATCATCATATATTAGGCAAACATTGGCTAAAAAGCATTGTATGGTTTGGCGTGTGTTTTGGTGGAGTGTTGTGTCTCTCTTTTATCTCATCATTTGTCGGTTATTCCAGTATTGCCTATAAGTGCCATATTTCCAGTCGGTTTGCTTTTGTCCATCTCTAGCAGCTGTTGTCTGCATTGGTTTTCTTTTTTCCATATATTTGATTGTGTTTTGAGGCACAGCATAATCAGCCTTTCAATACACAATCAAAACCAATACTAAAAACTTCTTGAGAGCCAAACAGAAAGAGAAATATGAAGCAAAACATTAACATTAAATCTGAATTCCTATAAAGAAATTCAATACGAGTTATGAGTTTCAAATGAATTCATAACTCTTCATAAACACATAATATCAGCCAAAATAGTATTTCCTAAACTATTTCATCTTTTCATCCATTTATTCAGTGTTTTATCATTTGAATGTTTGGATACAATTGAATGGCATTTATATGAACCCAAAAAGTGTTAGTCTTTTGCTTGAATTCATTTTATTTCATTATATTATTCTTACACTCGTTTGCTTCCTATGTATTCAATGCGAGTTTGGCTCAACTTTTAAAACTTTTCAAATCATTTTAATGTTAATTTGTTTTTGTTATTTCATTTGAAATAACTTTTGTTATTAATTAACACAAATGAATGCATATTAAGATACTGTACAGTGTGTGATTGGCCTTACATTGAATGCAATACAGTATAAAGCGATTTCCAAAACCAAGATATTAAGTGTTTGGATGTGAAACACATCTGCTTATAATCATTGGTCCAAACAATTCATATGAAATGCATTTTTCTTGAATCAAACCATTTCTTATGCAATGAATACGAATCTATTTATTTCTTATACACTTTATTATATAATATGTTTGTCTCTAAGCTTATAGCAAACTATTTTTAATAAAAGAAAATTGTGTTTTTTGGTTCAAATAACTCATAGCGTATGAGTTATAAATTTAGTTACCAGATTATTTTGATATAATGATATGTGTTTCAAATGAGCATAATTTGATATAACTTTGCGATATTTGATTAAAAAAGTGATCATTAATTTAGTGATTCCGAGTGAACAACTTTTGTTGATAAAATGCATTACATACAGCATTGAATAAAGTTATATAGAGTCGAAATGTCTTTCTCATTCAAATGTGAAAATTGCAATAATTTTTATCTCTTTTTAAAAGTAGTAGTAGTAGTAGTAGTATAGATACATTTATTAATAATCGGCATCAATATTTTGGTTTATAATTTTGTATAGTTATAAGAATCTATAACTATAACTATATAATTTTGATCTATATTTTAATAGAGGGTATTGCGATTATACAATTTTGTTATATAAATTGTTAATAAGTTACAAAATGTTCTGATTACATGTATAATTTTAGTTATTAAAAATTATTATTGTCAAACTTTTACATTACATTCATTTTAATTAATTGCAATATAGTATCAGAAATACAGTATTATGTAATTCTAATATTATGTAAATATTTTACCATAAATTTTATACAGTATACTATTCTTAACCAAACTAAATATGTTTATTAAATAATTGAAGTTTTATAGTCATCAATACTGTAGTTAACAAAGATAATATTGACATACAGTTTGACAAATTATTTGCATAGTTCTTGTTTTTATAAAGTTTTGGTTGAATGTATGAAATTAAAGTGGTGTAATAACTTAATATTGTGTTTGATTTGATATGAGAAATATTTGATGATTAATGAAATTTTAAGTATAATTAGATTTTGACAAATAATACGTGAAAAGAGATTTAAAGAGTGAAAAAGCGCTATAATTAGAGGATGCGTTTAAATACAACATATATTTCTCTACCGATTATCTGATTTACAGCATTCAATGAATTGCAATTATGTTGACTATGAATTAAATAATTTGAATTAATTTTTTTTGTCAGACATGAAACTTGCTATTTAATTCACTTTAAATAGTTGTTTTTCATATTAACCTATAGAACGTGATATTAAAAACTATTTTTTAAAAAGGCGTTTAATATATTTTCTTATTAAACCCTTTGGGAATAATTATATAACCAAAAACTTTACGGTAATACTATGTTGTGTAACATTAACTCAATTGAAGATTCAGTGAGTAATAAATAATTCATAAAAATGTATAATTTGTTTCGCAAAGCATTTGTTTCAATAAAATAGAAATATTGGATTCAAATTAACTGATTTGTAGTTTAGGACTAATCGATGCCATAAAATAAATTGAGTTTTCTTTTAATCAATTATTGATTAATTTTCTTATGCTTTTTCGCATTTAATTTATTTAATATAATTTGATTGAAAATTAATCTATAAATTGACTGCTTTAATCAATTATTAATCCATAATGTATTTTATGTATTAATTACCAACATTATTTACTTCTAGTGTTTGTGTTTAAGTTTAATTATTCCTATGTTATTATTATTGAGTTTTTTATTTTATGTCTTTTACTTTAATTGGGTTTTAATTTCTTAAAAACAAAATATTAAATTATATTTTTTATCATTTATATATTGAAAAATCACTTATTGTTTGAATGCAATTTTGATTGATACTTGGTTGTCTCGATAACCTTGGCTTATATTATGTATAGATATAAGTTTTATGAATAGGATTTTGAGACAAAATATCATTTATTTTTACATAAAAACAAAAATCTGTATAAATCACTGCAAACACTAAGTTATCAATTATTTGAAACAAATTTTGAGATAAGAATTTTTAATTAATTAATTAATTAATTCCTAAAAAGTCATATAATATATCATTAATTTTCATATAATCTTATTATCGAAACAAGAAAAATATAAATAACTGCTGACACAGAAGTAATTGTTTGCAAAACTATACACTTTTATTAAATAGAGTTTTTATAATAACCATTATTTCACCCAATAATCATTCATTTGATAAACTAATTATAGTTTTTGTTTAATATTGATATCACAAAAATTAACTAAATGTTGGCCTTATTTTGCTACTTTAAAGTGATTTATATAATTATCAGTGAATTGTATTACATTTTTGTACACAATTTGATTCACTGTTCAAAATTGAATTATAATAGTTGTATGTTTGAGATATTAATGAATAGTTGTGAATAACAAAGTTTGCATTATAATGCATAATATACGGGTAAACTGTGTTGAGATATATAGGCTCAGAAACTATGATTTAGATCTTATCTGTTGATTATATAAGTATTATATAATATATATATATAATATATATAATATTAGTGGCAAAGCCATAGCTAATGATGGCATTAACATTAAAGCGATGATTATTGCCTTTAATTCCATAACGAGATCATAAAAATTTATTACTTAAAGGCATTGAGTGTCTAATGAAAGAAAATTAATTTTGGGCAAAAACTTATGTAAACTAATGTAATGTGTTTTCTCGTAACTAAAGACAATGTATTAAACAAACAATATATACATTTAATTGCTGATTCTCGTTGCATAACAGGAATCAAAATATAATATTTATGTAGCATTTTGTAGGAACGGCATGAAATTGAGACCACTTTCCGTCAGCTGTGACTTAAAGTGGAGATCGTTTGGGCGCTCATAAGAGCGGATCCCTTGCCTAACATGTAGTGAAAGGCCGATCACTACTACCCATAAGAATGAGACTCTCGTTCTCTATAAACAGAGATCACATCAGAAAAAGAGTAGATTTGCACTAAACTTATGGTTGTTATCATCATTACTATAGGGTATTATCCATTGCCTCCTATGATATGACTTCACATTTCAAAAGCAAAAGGCATTTCAATGCATAAATGGCTCAAACATTATATCTCTACGAGTATTGGTTTGAATGACGAACCAAAGCATCACTAAAACTCTGATTGTATAATATTTTCATACACTTAGAAAGTGGCGTCACTTTCAACACCTTTCCTCCCAAACTTCAACACCTATTCCTCACAACTTTGATTAGACTTTAATCGACACCTAATTCATGGAAACAGAAAACATTGATTTTAATGAATTTAAATTCATTTGTATTGAATTTGCAAACAGTTTTAACAAAAATATTTAAACATTACTTAAATTTCTCAGTTATTTCTCTATTTGCTTGCCATGCGATTGAAGATTTAAATTTCAATTCAAACACTATATATTAGATTTCGATGAAAAGTGGTAAACATGAGTGTAAAATAGATTTTTTAAGATTTTGGGTTAAAATGACGCGGCGGGGGATACGCGACTGTTATAGTGTTATGGTCGGTATGGCAGCTGCTACCTAATGGCCCGGTTCACACTGATATCCTCTTTACAAGCAATTTGTTTGCCAACTCATACATAATATGCGAACGGAATTATCGCACAAATTATACTTCAATCGCTGTTTTATATAATTTTTGCGATACAAACAATTTTACGTCTTATACTCAAATTGGTTGCCATTGTTTGCTCTGAATATCAAATGAGTGCTTATATAAGGCATCCAAATATGTTTTCCGATGCCTTTTTGTTTGGCCACAAAACCGATTAAGAGTTCATTGATGTCTGAATCCATAAGAATATCGCTTCAAATCATAGCCCACAACATATTCTGTGCATGAATTCTGTATATTCTGTGTGTTCCGTATATTCCGTATATTCCGTATATTCCGTAAATACAGTATATTCTGTGTGTTATATAAGTACAGTATAGGATGTAAAGCATAATTTTGAATATTTTATTTAGCATTTGATTAATTGAGTGAAAACGTTTGCTGCTTTAGGTAAAGATATGGTTTCAAAACCGACGCATGAAATGGCGTAACTCGAAAGAGCGGGAACTCCTATCTTCCGGTGGGACACGAGAGCAGACCCTTCCCACCAAAAACAATCCAAATCCAGGTAAGAGCGCAGACATTGAACTGATTGTATGAGAAAGTGGTGGTGAACTGAACCGGTGGTGATGTGTCCTCCAGATCTGAGTGATCCGATCACAATCGCCGCGGCGTCGACCACACGATCACAATATACTAATGGAAACAACGCGTCGATCGCAACCGACAAAGACGGTCAGCCCATGTCTCACATCAACTACTCGCCGGTCATGTCGTTATCTAACTATGATATGAGTGCAAACCGATTGCAGTTAATTGACAATCAAATGCAAACCGACGACTCCGATGATGACGATGAGGATGAGGATGACAGCGACGTCGAGATCAAAGTGAACGACGATTAATGTCTCTCCAAATGAATTATGATTTAATGTACAGTAAATTATGTGTATTATATTATACAGTATATGAGAAACTAATAGTAGAGACTTGTTTTAATTGCTATAATTGTTCATAATTTTTTAGACATAAATTACTTGTTTTAGAGTCGAGAGTACAGACAAAACACACACCAAAATGTTATGACATTTATCCTTAAACTCAAGCCGTTTTAAATCGTACTTTAATTTATATTTATTACTCGTGTATATAGAGTTCACAAGAATTTTCATCAAATTATTTGCTTTAGACATAAATAACTTGAAAACCCATTTGACAAGAGAGACGAATACTCTAAACGTGTATAAAAACAGCAATAGATTTATTTATACCCAAATACATTATGTTCTAGCTTACAAACAATTAAAATGCCATAAATTTAGCCCACATTAAGTCAATTTATTTATAAATAAATACGTTTTTGTGAATATATTAAACGAGAATTAAATGAATACACTATATATTAGTCTTACAAATGCATATCAATACCGAAAACGATGTTAAATTTATAAGCATTACATTGAACTAACTCTCAGACAAAATGATAATTTGTGCACAAAAATCTCTTTTAAACAATTCATGAGTTTTGTTGTTATATTGAGTTGATATTAATAATTACTATTTTTGGCATAAATTATACAAAAAAGTAGTATTCGTTTGATTTGCCGAAAGAGAGCCGAAGCCGTGATCTCATAATTACTGATAAATGTGTAGAACATATATATTTCACTCATTTTGTAAAACTTTAAATTTGTAATTACATTAAACGACAAAATACGAATTAAAATGAATATAATTTTCAACAAAAAGTGCACATTTCTTATTTGAATATTTTAAATAAAGGGATCGAAAGAAATTATATTAAAAAGAAATATTAATAAAAATAATAAAAGTTTTTTCGCTTCATATGTGACTAATAGTGAGATCGAAAGTGAAATCATATACAGAATGGTTATATTCTTATGAATTTCTATGCTTTCAAACAATAATATGAGAGCTTTTTAGAGGAGAATATGTTTCCAATCCATTCTTCTCGTAATAAAATAAAATTGAATTTTTTAAAAATCTTTGGCAGTCAGTCATCAGTCGACATATATTTCATGCCTCAATATTATGTAATATGTTTTTGAAAGGAGTGTTGGAAAGCAACTATACGTATAATGAAAATACAGCCATAAAAGCAAAACATATTTTTAAATGCCTGAAGAGAATCGGAACGCATTTGTAAAATCTTATATTAGTTTTGTTTTTTCTCACAACTTATTTATGCTTAAATTGTTTTAAATGAGTTAATGTTAAGCAATGCTAAAGCAAACAGTGCTGTAATTGAACAAAAAACGGCACACGATATGCTGAATAAATACAATTCAGTGCCTAATCCTTAGCATTTACTTCTCTCGAGAAATCAGTTCCCTTTCCTACCCTTCCGCTGGCATATGATATCATATTATTTTTATTACTTCATTGAACTTTATTTAAAATTTTTCAAAATTATGTACTGATTATGCGCTCCGAAAGCAAATTAGATTTTCATGGAGTGAATGGAAAAAGATTACATAAATGTAATACAAATATACAAATATTCCTTAACTTTAATTCTTAATAAAATGTTTTTCTATAAATGTATGTATGAATCAAACCGAAAGCAAATTAGATTTTCATGGAGTGAATGGAAAAAGATTACATAAATGTAATACAAATATACAAATATTCCTTAACTTTAATTCTTAATAAAATGTTTTTCTATAAATGTATGTATGAATCAATTCGTGTGCAAAAAAGAGTTTAAAATTGGGTTTTAAAAATAGAGAGATTATTAAAAACAATTGAAGCGTTTATTTGTAATTTAATGATAGTTTGCTTATAAATATAGTGGAGTCAATGATAAGGGAAAATATATTTCATTTACATTTCATTCATTCATCAAATGGTTTAATCGAAAAGAAGCGAAACATTGAGAAGTGAATGATTGCATCGAAACACATATTGGAGTTAATATCGAAATGTTAGGAAACGGTAGGCATTGGAAAGAGTGGATCACATCATTAGATGTGTAGTTATAATATGAGTGCAGTTATAGTCAGTGTGTATACAATAAAAGGCAAACTAAACAAAGTATTTATGAGAGGCATGACTATAGGACTGGTCTGATTGAGCTCACAGTCTCTCAGTCTCCCAGTCCTCACATACAGTACAATATGAGAGCACAGTTAGCAAGAGTTAGTAACAGCTGTATTATGTGATCACATTATTAATAGCAATAAACGATCTTTTAATGCGATGCATAAATGAAAGGGGGGATAGGGAGGGAAAGGGGTGCAAATGAATTGCGACCAAAATATGCGTTAAGCGCTCATATATTTATACATAAACTTATATAACATATTCACTTAAGTTGGCTAATGATCTCCAATAAGAACCATTAAACATCACTAACAGGCATAACAGGCATACAGTGCACAACCATCTCAACCATACACTACAACTCCTTCCCTTTTCCTCACTTAATATATTCAGGTATATTAGGGTATATTAGATTCCACTTACACTACCATTCCTATCATACATACCAGTCCATACACAACCCAATGCCTGCCAAATGCATATGAGGAACAGGAGGCGCACAGGGATCTGTGTTGCAAATCTATTATGCCATACCATAACATAGTTTTCAATTAAATCATCATAATCGTAATGATTATATGAAAATATAGTGTTTTATTGTTTACAATATTGAGATTTTAAAGTTATATTACTTGATATTTTGTGTTTATTAAGATAACGTTTCATTCAACCTTACCTTATTATTTTGAAAACATATTAATTATTATTATTCTGATAAAATGCAAATGTAAATTGCAATATTGATGTTAATCTACTAGTACAGTATTAAGATATCAATATTTAAAGTACAGTGAAAATATTTTTTGTTTCGCATATTAGTCAGAAAGAGAGTATAGTATTTAATATATTTTGCAAAATTAATATTTTTGTGTCTAATTATCATGAATTTTGCACACCCTATGAGCAGAATAAGTTAGGGGTTATGCAAATGCCTAACAATATAAAAGTGCATATAAAAGTATTAATACTTTTTTGTTATGCTTTTCAAAGTATATTATAATTTATTCTTAATAAAAATGCTTTGAGATTATTAGATATTATTAATAAAGTGAGTGACTTGTCGTTAACGTGTTGTTAATGCAAACTTGAATTCAACTCAAAAGCCACTAAATTTTTTCTGTGAGAGTGTATGACTTGAGTGAAGTCATGCATATTAAACAATAAATGTGTTGAGAGTTTAGTTAAATTAATAAAATGTTATGTAAAGTAAATTCACTTGAATCTCGACTTTCATATTATTGCCGCCAAAAAGAAAGTGAATTCATATATGAAGTTGTGTTTTGTTTCGTTTACTTTTAATACATTTTATTTTGTTTTGTTGTGATTAATACGCTGAAGAGATTCTTAACCTGTAATTATGTCTTGAGATAAAAATCACAAATTCTTCCACTTCTCTGCTCTCCTTATAAATATTCAATTCTCTCTCTCTCTCTCTCTCTCTCTCTCTCTCTCTCTCTCTC